AGGGGGAGCGAAGTCACCGAAACTGAGAAGGCAAAGGTGGAGCAACCGGCAAAAGAAGGGACAGAGGGGGAGCGAAGGCGAGCGGAAAACATCATTTTTTCCTGCTGTGGCAAGATCCCTGAAACCACTGGTGGGGTTTGCGAAGTGCCAGACTGATTACCCATTTGATTTTTGCAAGGGCATGCGTCTGGGACATATTCATTGCTTGAAAAGGCCAAACAAAAATGTTAAACTCGAATTCAAGGAAGTGAGAGCTTCACTCTACCGCTACTTTCAAGGGGTAACTACGCGAGAGTCACAAGAACAGTTTGAAATGACAGTTTCGGCCAAAACGAGTTTCAAATTGCAGTTCAGGCACTTTACCAGTGTACCTGACAGGAAGCTGGCTTGTATACATTACCCGAAGTGCAATTTGAAACTCGTTTTGGCCCGAACTGTATTTTCAAACTGTTTTTGTGACTCCCGCGTAGTCACTGTGATAGGTTCTAAGAATGATTGTTACAAAAGGCGGTCTCCTTGATCCGCTAGGATACCTTTTAAACAGTGGTGCCTTTAATCCAGAAACTCTTGGAATACTCTTGGAAACTCTTGGAATACTCTGCCTGAAAAAAGTGTTTTGAAGTCTCATGAAGACTACATTTTTGCCCTTAAACCACCAGTTCACACTAACCTAAGTAGTGCTCTTACGGGCTAAGAGCATTCCTATTCTTCGGCTCTGGGCCGGTAGCGAAAGTCGCTGGCGATGTTGAAAAAGATGGGGGTCTCGAGTGTGGTAGAAGTTTGAAATATGAAAGGCTGCAGCCCTGCGGGCAACCTAAAAGCCATTTGACCAGGCCGCGAGGGACAGTAGTCTTTTGGTACTATTGAGAAAAGATGGGGAGGTATAGAGTGTGGTAGTATGGTAAGACCTGGGGTCATGGCAGGGTAATTGCTAGGAAAGGGCATAGAGGGTTTTCTTGCCCTTTGCTTTGTTTTGGTATTCTTTGTTTGTTCCGACTTGTTTGTTTTGTTCTTTTGGAAAATGTTTCTCGGATCGCGCATGGGTCTACACAAGGTTGACCAGTAGTCAGACAAGTGGCTACCGAAGAAGTGGGGGTTAGGATTTTACTTCTTTAGAAGGCCGGCCGTTAGTACCCCGTTACTTCTAGAGGAATTGTCTTTGGCTTGGTCTGAGTCAGCTTTCTCCTCTTTTCTTTTCTGATGAATCTGCCCCCTTTTTTTTCTGGCCCTTCTCTTTCTGTGAACGGGTTGATTCTACGTCTCTTGGAACTTTCTTCTGACTTTCTCCTTTGTCTACTCCTGTCTGCATTTCGGTTCGCTGGATAGTATTTAACGAGTAACTCCCATTTGCTCAATCTCGCTTCCTAGCGACCTAGAGACGCCTGACTATTCCGGTTGGCGGCTGCGCCGGCTGGATCAAACGCAGCATAGGGCTGCTGCGCCTGGTTTTCACGATCGTTTTTTTACGTATTTGGCGGTTTTCACTATTATATTTCGGCCATACAATCGCATTTCGGGAAATTTGGGATGAGCCTCTACTCTCTTCTACCCTATCCGCTGTGTTCCTCTGCTTTGTCCGTCGTCTCTATGTATCCCCCACGGCCGCGGCTGCGGGGTCGGGGTCAGAGGGCGGCCATGTTCATGGCCGCATCCGCGGCTGGGGTCGACCGGCGACCGCACCGCAGCCACATTTTTCACAGATTTTTCCCGTACAAAATAATAGGGGCAAAAAAAGTAAAAACTTAAATGGGGTGGTAGGGGTTTTTTCAAACCCTACAACACATATTTGTTTTTAAGGAAACAAAAAAGTTTTTGGAATTACAAAAAATAAAAAACAGAAAAGACGGAGAGAAGAAAAAAAAAAAAAAAAAGTTTTTTTTTTGGGATTTTTGGTATGCAGTTCATTGTCTTCTTCTATTTTGTCTTTTTTTTTTGTGTGTGTAATAAGGAAACAAAACAAGGAATGAAAAACTAAAATAAAATAGTACTGTTATTTGGCAAGGACAATTAGTATCTGTGTGTGTGTGTGTGTGTGTGTGT